ATCTCCTCAGATGGTAAGATCGATGGAGAGATAGACAACAGGTTAGCAAAGGCATATAGTGCCTTCGGAAAGCTTCATAAAAGAGTTTGGTGAAATAAACACTTGAAGAAAAGTACAAAGATCAGTGTTTACAGAGCCATTGTGCTGTCTACTCTCTTATATGGATCTGAATCATGGGTCATCTACCACCACCACCTGTGACTCCTAGAACACTTCCATCAACGCTGCCTCCGTTCAATCCTAAATATCCACTGGTCAGATTATGTGACCAATACATCTGTTCTAGAACAAGAAGCAGTCACAAGTATTGAGGCCATGTTACTGAGAACACAGCTGCGTTGGGCAGGGCATGTCTCCAGGATGAAGGACTATTAAATATTGGTACTGCCTGACTAACTCCAGGAATAAGGTATCAGCTCTGACTTGAAAAATTTAGATGGAGCTTTACTCCTGAAACTTGAACACACTCTTGATTTTAATTTCACTGTGGAAGCAGTACAATAATCCATTTGTATACATTCATTCATTCCCCTTAATTGTTTTTCCTTTGCTCCACACTTTACTCCAGTCATCAATTATCAAGAAAGTGAGTACTCAGGTTGAGGAAGACAGCGTAGATTTTTCACCCCCATCCTCGCTAAAAAAAGAGCACAACTTCCTCATTTAGTAATTTCTTTACATTTTTACAAGTGATGCACCTTTTATTATTTATTATTTATTTTAACCATCTACTTTAATTTGAAAGTTGGCAAATCTCATCTCATCCTTTCTATTTCTTAGCTCTAAGCCTCAGCTTTCTCCTCCTCCTATTTCTACTGTCTTGTTTAAGTCACTCCTTTTGCAGATAAATACTGAGTCCTCTTTATACAACGTTCTTCTCATTTATTAAAGAAATTTCCAGACTTTCACCATATTCAGAAGTTCAACAGATTTCACAATTTCCTTCTATTTTCCTGACAGCATACCTTTTTAAAGCTGCAGTACTTAGATTTCAATCAATTTATATTGGCATTCATTTTAAACTGATTGAATCCATAATTACTAAATCAAATATTATATTCTCTGTGTAGAACAGGCTCTGTGAATGTTGCTAAATGATGAACACCTATACATTTTTCTACTAAAATAAAATCCTATAGGTGTCTTACCCATATATTCTTCCTTGTTTTTAGCAATTATGTATATTGAATAGTACTAATTAAACCTTTCGGGCAAAGAGTATTTGCTTTTCTTGAGTTTGGAATGTACTGCTACCAAGGAAATAATAATAATTAATAATAATCATTCTTGTTTTTTAACAGATGAAGGATTTTCTAGTATACTGATCATTTAGTGGATTGTGTTATGAGTTGCTGAACCATATAGCCCAACAGAAGAGAGGCTGCCATAGCAACATTTTCCTAGGTCTAGTCAATAGCAAGTCTGAACACATACTCCTAACAGGCACACACATTCCTAACAGGCACACAC